GTAATGCAGAATATCTGCTCCAGAATACGATAGTGAACCACACAATGGCTTCGAAGAGCAAAAAAGCTATAGAGAGGGTAAGCAACTAGTTCAAATGGATTATGCTGATCTTGAGGTTGATATCATAACAATAGTCTTGCTCACTGAAGAACTGAGATATTTTATGTAAAAAAAATTAATAATATTACAATCGAAGTCTTCACTCCTTTACTCAACTGTTCTTTTAAGTCATTACAATTTGTTGAACATTTTTCATTTTCTATTTGATATATTATTGCTTTGCTGCTGCTGCAGCTACTGTTAAATTTTTATAATTACCTACCAAATATGTATAATAAGTAAATAAATATAAATTATTTATGTATATATTATATACATACAAATCTTTTTCACTTCTCGCTGCTCTTGTCTAAACGACGCGTGGTGAATTCTGAACAAATTTATTATACACAAATATATAGAATGCAAAAATTAATTAATAACTATTAACACATATAAATATTTATACTCAAATATAAAAATGTATAACAAGAATGATTAAAATATTATTAATTACTAACGAAAATGGAATAGCTAAAATATTAATAACTAAAAGAGAAAACATAAAGGAAAGAGTTGAAATTTTATGATATTCTAGTAGATCTATGCACAATGCTTTCTAGTTATTTAAATTTTTAACAAAAATTAAATTAACTTTTCAATAGGATTTGATATGTTTTAAAATTACAGGTATTAAGATCAAAATACCCTTACATGTACGATTTTTAATCTGAACAAAGACGACTTGTGTGAGCTAGTGTCTAACATTATATTATCCTTCAGCTATACAATAGAAGTATGGAATGCTTTTGTAGTAACATGGCAATGGCTATATCTTCCTTGCTTCGACAAAATAAGTCGTTTGGAAATTGTCGAATGTCTATGATGATTAACAAAACATATTATGTGAGACTACTATTCTGGAAGAGAAGATGCATTCCAGCATTAAGCTGTTTTTCAACTTTTATTTCATTGGAAACATGTTTAGATCTGTTTACAACCTTTTTCCCTAGTCATAACAATAATAAGCTTTAATTCAATTGTACTATTGACAAGTCGTAATCGAGCCTGTTTGTGCCCCTTAGATTGTTTTGACAGTTTATAACTGGGTGTTCTAACCAAACTTTTATCGAATTATTGCATAAATTGATGGGTTTAAGTGAAGTAGTGTGTGCTGGACAATTGTATATGTGGTGGGTATCATGGGGTTCCTGACCACCTGCTGAGCATATATTTGGATGTTTTCCACGGCAGGTTTTTCTCTATTTCTGCTACAAGTGCGACAATCATGCGATAACCTGAAACCGCGGTGTTGCTGACATCTCTAAGAATGTCATTAAAAGATAATGTATAAAAATAACGAATCAACGGACCCTGCACACAAAGTTTCTTCCTGATATGCCTCAAGGGTGTATTAAACTGTGTGATGCAACAGTTGGGATGACTGCTCCGGTCACATCCAGAGGAACTGTTAATTTTTTGTTACAGTCCATTGGACAGCAATTAATATTTCATTGGTTATTACTCAGCGAAGCAGACTAGACTACAGCATGTAATTAACCACTCAACGGATTTCGTCTTATAGATATAGCTAAGAATGTACACAGATGAACCCCAAAATGTTTGGGTGGTTTATAGTCAGTATTTGTGCTGCCTCAACTATCCAGCCTAAATTTAGCTCCAGCTGGTGAAAAGTATTGCAGAAGACTTTACAGGTGATAATTTCTTATCAAATCCAGTTACGTTATGGGGAGTTTAGAGAGGTAGAAGTTGAAGGATAGAACACCAAACTTTGCTACTTCTTTTGGTTGGAAAATCAAAGTGCATTATGATATTATTATCGTCTGGTGTTTTGAAACTCATCTCTGGACGTAAATTCATAGAATTTTTACTCCACATGCTTTGCACCCGTTTCTTTAGCTGTGTGCGTAATGCCTTTTGTACACCTAAACTTCAGTATCAAACAAACTTCGGTCTTGGATCAATTTTATTTCCTAGAGTATCTTTCCCTTTATAAAAAGTAGGTACATCCGGTGTTTCTTTATGGAATATTCTCGAATTGTCTGGTTATCATATGATGCAAAGCTTACCCCTGAAAATACATTAGTTTGAGGACATCTTACAATCCAATCTTATATTGAATCTTTCCTTCCGATGTCGCTTTAAATTTATCTAATAATGTATAGGTACTCGGTTGAATATACTTCGGTGATTTACTTAAAAGGGGAGAAATACATTTCCTTAAAAAGGAAGAAAAAGTCATAGGATGACAGGTTGTCGGTTATGCAGACCTTTTACAGAACCACTTAAAAAAGGATATATGAAATATTATCCTAGAAGATCAAAAATATTAAGTTGACAAGTTACCTATCATCTTACGACCACCAACCAAACTTTTCATCACTTCAAATATGTTGAAGATTAAACAACAAATATGTATTTTTAAATCCAATGGATAACAATAAAAATAATTTTTCACAAAAAAATTATAAAGAAAATGTGTGATTTCTTACAATTTAGGCTGAGAAAGAGAAAAAAAAGAGAGCAGCGCGTCTTTTCATGCAAAAATTACAATGGCTGCCAACGACGATTGACATAAAAAAGCAATAAACGAAGATAAATATAAAACCATATGATGAAGTTTAAAAAACAACAACAAATCAGATAAATTTTATAATTTTTACAAAAACAAAAGTAAGCACACGAATAAAATTGAAGTTAAACTAAAGTTTTCTTTATATTTATTTAAAAATGGTTATAAGTAAATTAAATGGATTAAATTTAACATAAAATGCTGTTAAAGTTAATAAAATATTAATTGAAAATTAAAATAATTTTATAGAAATGTTAAAAGTAACAAAAACTAAACCAGCAATTGTTAAAATTAATTAGAAACTGCAACAATTTACAGGTGCAACGATGATAAAATGCTGCAAAAACAACAACAACCTAACAAACAAGAGCAAAAATCTTGAAGAACACATGAAAAGAAGAAACAATAACAACAACAAATTACAGCAAATAAATGCTCATTAATTTTTAAATCACCACAGCGAAAAAAGTACTAAAATTTGCAACACTGCTTAAGAAAGAAATAGTTTAACAAATAACTTAAAAAAAAACTAAATACATTACTAATAAATAAATTTATACATATTAACAAATTAATAACATACCTACAAATATTAATTAACAAAAACAAAACTTACCTCTACTAAGAAAAAAACAAGAAACACAATGTTTTTTTATGTAGAAAAAAACCTACAGCAATACAATTTGTTTCTGTAGGTATGAAAGAGGAAAGAGGAGGGTGAAACAGCGGCGTCAAGTATAAAACAAAAACAACAAAATTTTAATTTTCTCTACACTTGGCTAAAGCACAAACAACTATACAAAGAGACACACCACACCAATTCAATTCCTTTTTTTTTGTTTCATTTTCTTTTTAAAATTATGCAAAATTTTCAACACTTTTCATATAAATTTTTAGTTTTATTTAATTAAACACTTATTAAGTTAATGTTTTAAGAAAATTGTTTTCATTTAACACAAGCGGCTTTTGTTTGTTTGTTTGTTTATATTTGTTGTTAGAACAATTTTATTTGTATATTACACGTTGTTTTAAGAAAATGTATAGCAAATTTTGGAAAACTTTGTATTTTTTAAATTTAAATTTTCTTTTTTTCAATTTAGCTTTAACAGCCAGACGCTTTGATAATTAATTTTTTTTCGCCTAAGCTTAATTATATGAGAAACAAAAATGTATCGTATATGTATGATGATTTTTTTTTATTATATTCGTGGGTAAATAATTGTCGTTAGCGGCGTTCGTTAACATTGTCGACGTCGTTGTCGTTATTGTCCGTTTTTTCTTCTTTCTATTGCTGTTGTTGTTGCTGTTAATTTTTTTCTTCAAGTTTTTCTTAATTTTTTGAAACGATGAGGAAGGGTCTCTTATGAAGTACAGACAATTTTTTTTCATTTCTCTTACATATAACTTTTTTCAATTTCAACCTTTTTTTTAATAATTTCCACTGTTAAGTTTAGTATTTTAATTAATATTTCTATTAAATTTTAGTCTGCAATTTTTCAGTGCAAAAAATTACTTTATTTCTTGCTTCTCATCTTTTCTTTTTTTTTCTTCCATCATGCACACACACATTTTTTCCTTTCATCTTTTTTTTTTGCTTCAATTAACCAACATTTTTTCAAATGCCTTTTTTAGCATTAAAATTTTATGTAATTCTTGAAATTTTTATTGCATTTGTTTACTTTGCCTTTATATTTTATAAATTTCATAATTTTTTTAATTAATTTTCACTTTAATTTACCGTTTTTGCAATTTTTCTACTCATCACTCAAGACAAATAATGTACGCACCACATCAAAGACCACCATTTTGTTTTAAGAATTTTTATTCTTTTTGCCGACTAGCCAAAAAATTTTGTTGAAGAAAAAAAAACGTTGAGAAAGAGAGAGCGCAAAAGCTACCTAAAACAGAGTTGTATTTAGGAGAAAATAAAATGTAGAAAAATTCTGTGACAAGTATGACTCGATAAACAATTAGTGTTAGTGTTTATCCACAAAACTAAAGAGAGAAAGAGATGTCTATAGTAAATATAACAGATAAAAAATGTCATTTGTTTTAAAATGATGCCAGATGTTGTGTAAAGACCGGGAAAACGCTAATTTAATAATGTTGCCAGCTAAGATTTGTTCTAAATGAACGTGTTTTAGTTAGCAATTTTAATTTATTTCAAACAAAATTGTTCAAAATTAATTTGAAAAATAAGGAATTTAACTACTGCTACAAAATATTAATTATTAACTAAAGTAATATGTTAATTAAGGCAATTGAAGGAAATTTAAAAGAAAACTTTTTAAAATATTAGTAACTAGATTTAGAGTGGTTAAGACCAGATATCCTAAGTTCGATTCACAACTAGTTCTAGAATGCATGATTATATTTTATTATTAAATTTTATGTATTTTTATTAAAAAATCTAAAAACTAAATTAGATTTCAAATCGATCTGACAATTCTTTTAAAACTGCTGCGCCATTTTTCACAATAGCGGCGAGTAGTTGAATAAAAAGAACGAACTCAATATAGTTAAAACAAAAGTAACGACTTTTTGTAATTTATGAAAAGTCGTCTATTCGACTTTTCAAGTCGCGCCGTTGTAATATCTAAAATATGGCCAAAAACGGAAATTTCTTGATTTTAAAGACACGATATATCGAATTTATTAAACAGATTGCATTTCGGAGATCTTCTCTTGTAAAATTCCAATAATATTAATATTTATATATTCAGTTATCTGTAAATAAGAATTTATACTATAAATAAAACTAACTTTTACCCATACACAACATTAACTTACTGTCATTCTCAACTCGAAATTATTATCTCCCGAAATATTGATCTTAAGTAAACTTGTTAAACGTTCAGCGTATTTTTTCAACTTTTCCAATTCTCTTTGGCTGTAGGAAAAGTAGTTGCGATAACCGGCCTTTTTTAAATCATCATTTTTTCCATACACCACAGCGTTTATTATAAAACCAAGGCACTGCACCATTACATAAACGATACGTATATGTTCCTCCTCCTGCAAAACCTCATCATCTAGTTCTTTTAACATCTTTATTAATTCACTGAACTCATGAAACGTATACATTTGTATTTCTGTTTCCATGATTTCACAAATTAAGGTCCAAACTAAACATATGGCTATAGCACGTCCAGTTTCACTGGCCATTGATATGTGATGACTTATGGTTAAAATGTTGAAGACAAATTCGATTCCTTCCATTTTAAAGGCTTCCCAGAGACGTTTAGTAGCCACATGTAACTATAAATAATAATAATTATGCACATATTTAACACAAATGCATTACTTCTTACATGTATTGGACTCAAAGTGTCGACATACTGGAATGTCTTTTGCAAAAGATGGTAGCGCCATTCGAAATTTTCCGGAGTGGCATTTACAAAATAAACCATAGAAGCCGCCACAAATAGATTCGTAATTTCATCAAGATTTAATTCATTGTTTTTTAACAGACCACAAAATTGTTTGCAAATCTATTACATATTTACATACATACATAAACAAATTTAATAATTGTTTTTATTTATAACAAAACTCTTGTTTTCACCTCTTCTATATCCTCGGTATGCTGCAAAAATCCGCATTTATCTGCCAAACAAGTTTGGTTCATATATTCTTGCAAAGTTGATAGGCTGTAGGAAGTCTCCACTATCAAATGCATTCCATCATTTTTATCCTTAAATTCATCTGGATTAATGGCTTCCATTATTAAGAAACTTTATTTAAATATTTCTGATAATTTAAAGGAATAACAAAATATTTGTGATTGTTTTGCAGTTTTTTTTACCACGAAAGTTAATGTTGCCAGATCGAAACTTATTTGCTTTAAAATTACAAGGAATGTAAAGTTGGACATGGCCGTCGTGACACCCTACAATGAGTATGTAGTGTGTAAAAAATGTGGATTTATAATATTTCTATATTACTGTATGACATTTAAAAAGTTCATACAGTTAAAAATTTCAAATTTGTAAAAAATCGAAAACATATAAAAACACCAAAATATATTTAAAACATTTTTTTCTTTTTATTGGGTTGTTCTTTAACATTTTCATCGTCATCTGAATCAACATCACTTTCTGAATCCTTTGAAAACTTAATAACATCTTCAGTTTCCATTTTACTTGACTGATCATCCAATGCAACTTCTTCCTCATTGTTATCACTGTCGGAGGAGGAATCCGAAAATACCACTGGACCCGAAGCCTTAACAAACATAACAGTTTTACCAACACGACGGGATTCTAAAGAAGAACAATTAAAATGTTAGCCAAAAAAATGCTTTAAAATAATATTTTAAGAAAAACAAATCCACCTACCAGCTCTCAAAAATAATTGACGACAAAAACGATCTATGGCACATTTGCCCTGGTCTTCCGATAGGCCAAAAATAAAAGATCTGAAAGGTAAATAGAAGAATAAAATATTTATTAAATACATAAAGCTGTAGCTAAAACTTACAAGTTAGCCACATCATAAGGTCCTCTTAATTCAAAAACATTTGTGGCTCCACTGGAGATAATAATACTTCTTGATTTACCCTTAACGAAATAATTATGAGCCACCTTAATCATATCTTTGCGGCAGGAGGAGTCGGCTATTAAAGGAGAGTATTTGATTTCAAAAAAGACTCCCCGCTTAACAGCCACTTGATAGGCTTTGCGATTAACATTCAAACGTATACCGGCGTTAGTATCAAAAGTAACAATATCACCATTAAAGGTAGTGCAACAATGCTGTAATTATTAACATTTTAAACAAATTATAAATCCACTTTAAAAAAAAAAATACTTACCGTCAAGGCAGCATCTGTTTTAGGCTGGCCGGCTATTAAATTAAATTTCTTCAAATTTAAAGAATTACCCTAAAATCGAAATTTTAAATTATTAAACATTTTATTTTTGAATAAAAAGTCTTTTTATACTCACCATGGCATGTGCCACAGCCACATCCACATATATTATAGTTAAACGTTGCAAGATTTTCAATTTATTCTTAAACTCTTCCTGCAGTCCTTTGATATTCACAGGTTCGGGAAATATATCCGAGGATCTTTTAACATTTTCCTTTTTACTATGATCAAATTGCTGCTCTATGGCTATAGTCTTATAGCCTACTGCAAATAAACATTAAAAATTTATTGCAAATTTTTATTCCGCATTTTATTTTATTGTTTTCACTTACATTCAATTATTTCTTTGCACATTTCTCGCATCACCTTTTCATCTTTATTAAATGGTATACACATATCGTAAAATCCTTTTGTTTCTTCCATTTTTGTTGGTTTAATTAAAATTAATATTTAAATATTATTTTCGGCAAATAAAAATGTAAACAATTTTTTTGTCTTGGCACGTGTAGTTTGTTTTATTTGTTTACATCAGTCAGCTGTTTTAATACAACAACAGGAGTGTTTAAAAACATGAAAACAAAACAGAATATAAAAAACAGAGTAGTTTAGAAATGAAGTAAAAATAACAGCATTGTCAGTCTTAATTATGAAAACGGTTTAATTAAAAAATATTTTATAGACTAAACTTTAGTTTATTCTAAAGACTAAACTTTAGTCTATTCTATAGACTAAACTTTAGTCTATTCTATAGACTAAACTATTCTATAGACTAAACTTTAGTCTATTCTATAGATTAAACTTTAGTCTATTCTATAGACTAAACTTTAGTCTATTCTATAGATTAAACTTTAGTCTATTCTATAGACTAAACTTTAGTCTATTCTATAGATTAAACTTTAGTCTATTCTATAGACTAAACTTTAGTCTATTCTATAGACTAAACTTTAGTCTATTCTATAGACTAAACTTTAGTCTACTCTATAGACTAAACTTTAGTCTATTCTATAGACTAAACTTTAGTCTATTCTATAGACTAAACTTTAGTCTATTCTATAGACTAAACTTTAGTCTACTCTATAGACTAAACTTTAGTCTATTCTATAGACTAAACTTTAGTCTATTCTATAGACTAAACTTTAGTCTATTCTATAGACTAAACTTTAGTCTATTCTATAGACTAAACTTTAGTCTATTCTATAGACTAAACTTTAGTCTATTTTATAGACTAAACTTTAGTCTATTTTATAGACTAAACTTTAGTCTATTCTATAGACTAAACTTTAGTCTATTCTATAGACTAAACTTTAGTCTATTCTATAGACTAAACTTTAGTCTATTCTATAGACTAAACTTTAGTCTATTCTATAGACTAAACTTTAGTCTATTCTATAGACTAAACTTTAGTCTATTCTATAGACTAAACTTTAGTCTATTCTATAGACTAAACTTTAGTCTATTCTATAGATTAAACTTTAGTCTATTCTATAGACTAAACTTTAGTCTATTCTATAGATTAAACTTTAGTCTATTCTATAGACTAAACTTTAGTCTATTCTATAGACTAAACTTTAGTCTATTCTATAGACTAAACTTTAGTCTACTCTATAGACTAAACTTTAGTCTATTCTATAGACTAAACTTTAGTCTATTCTATAGACTAAACTTTAGTCTATTCTATAGACTAAACTTTAGTCTATTCTATAGACTAAACTTTAGTCTATTCTATAGACTAAACTTTAGTCTATTCTATAGACTAAACTTTAGTCTATTCTATAGACTAAACTTTAGTCTATTCTATAGACTAAACTTTAGTCTATTCTATGGACTAAACTTTAGTCTATTCTATAGACTAAACTTTAGTCTATTCTATAGACTAAACTTTATCTATTCTATAGATTAAACTTTAGTCTATTCTATAGACTAAACTTTAGTCTATTCTATAGACTAAACTTTAGTCCATTCTATAGACTAAACTTTAGTCTATTCTATAGACTAAACTTTAGTCTATTCTATAGACTAAACTTTAGTCTATTCTATAGACTAAACATTAGTTCATTCTATAGACTAGAGTTTAGTCTACTCTACAGACTAAACATTAGTCAATTTTAGGAAAAAATCATTAAAAAACTAAAAATTTTTAAAATATAAATGGAGAATATATTCTTTATTTGGAATGTAATGTTAATATCTTATTACAGTTAGAAGGAATAAAAATTAAAACTTAAGCACAATAGTTCATGTTAAAATAACAATTTTTATATAGCATAGACACGCACACACACAAACATTCATATGGATATCTCTTTTTATTCTTAGAGATTCACATTTAAATATAAACTAGATATTTTGTATAAAAATATAAACTTTATCGATATTTTACAATTGCACTATATGTAATTAAACTTGCTGAGTTTTCATCAAAAAAAAAAAAAAAAAAAAAAAGAGAGGGTCATTTGGAACTTAAAATAATAATAAGGAAGTATGTATAAGTTTTTAAAGTTATACAAAAAATAATCTCATCAAAATTAAAATAAAAAATTACTTAATTTATCACTGCTCATATATAATGGCAAACTGGGGAATGTGTTCATATTTTGGGATAACGGTGAAAGTAACCAAAACCCAATTAATATTAGACAAATATAAACATACACATAAACAAATAAAACTATTACTAAACGTATATACTCATGCTTCATCATTATCCTCATCCATGGAATCTGTTGTATCCAATTTATGTTGCTGAGCTATATGCTGATCTAATTCTGCTCGTGTCTTTGATTGCTCTTTGCAAATGTAACACTGAAAAATTTGGGTATTGACATCGTGTTCCTTTAAGTGTTCATTATAAGCATCGATTTCATTAAAACGTTGATTGCACTCACAACACTCGAGCCAATCTTCAGCACCTGAATCATCATCATTCGAATCCATATAACCATCAACTTGCATTGTGGAAGAATATTTTGTAGATTTCGAAGAACTTGTAGTCAAATGCTGCTGTTCCTCACTATCACTGTCATTGCGATGAGTTTCCTTGTGTTCTGTGTACTTAAGGAAATCACGAAATTTCATCGGACAGCGCATACACTTGTACCAACGTTCACGTATGTGAGTGACCATATGTTTTTTAAGCGTTGAATATTCCCTAAAGGGTTTACGGCACTTGCTACAGCTAAATGGTTTCTCACCCGTATGTATCATATAGTGACGCTTAAGATTGTGACGAGTGCCAAAGGCACGATTGCACAAAGGACAGGGAAACTCTTTACGCGTAATCATACCCAATTCATTGTAACCAGGACGATGTACGGCTGGTATATTATCCAAAAGACGATGTGTATCTTCGGTTGATTTTGCATTGCCACTACTACTGCTTGCTGCTGCTGTTGAACTTCCGTTATTTGAAGATTTTGTTTTAATTGCCGCAATGTTATAACTTGTTACGGAGGTGATGGTTGGTAGTGTATGTAGTTGCTGCTGTTGCGCTGAATGCATTTCAGATGATGAGGATGAAAGGGATGGTGTAGAGGATTGTAATGTTTCTGTTACGGTTGCTGACTTAAGACGTGCATTCTGTTCGGCTGCATTATCGGCATCTGTGGCCGGTTTCATGGCAGCCATTATTACAGCATTTTTTGATTGTGTACAGCAATTGATACATCGTGTTGGATCATTATCTACCGGTGGCCGTTCATGACAAACCATGCAGAGATAGTTTGGCTCGTTGGCATGACGACGTCGGTTGTTTTTTCATATCGCTAAATTCGCGAAATCGCCGATCACATAAATCGCAACCAAAAGGACGGTCACAGAAAGGAGACAGAAAGTGAGGAAAAAGGCATGGGGGGGAAGGGAACGGGGGGCAAGGGGGAGGGGAGGAAGGTAGGACGGAAATGGGAGAGGAGGGGGACGAGAAGGAGAGCGAGCGAGCGAGCGAGCGAGCGAGCGAGCGAGCGAGCGA